GTTTATGACTTTGAATACAGCTACAGTTTTTCTTTGTGACTTTATCATTTATGACCTGGGTTCTCGTTCCTGTGCAAGTACTACATGAACGGATGAGTAATGTTCTGTTGAAATACGATGTTTGTACAGCGATAGCATTTGGCAGCAGTGAATGATCGAACAAGGCCAGAAAGGTATCCGTCCTTCAGTTCCAATATTGCTATGGGAAGTAGTTCTGAATTAGTGTTGAAGATCTTGTACTTCCTCACCGCCAAGATTTATGTAACGTTCATTAAGCCTTAAAGGTGATTATCCTATTTTTGTAGAGAGATTTCGTGCCTCAGTGGTCACAAAATGGGCAAATTATTACGGTACTCTTCAGTAAGAGTGGCGCAGTGGCTAGTTTTTTAATGCTATCTTTGTTTTTATATTATGTTTATTTTTGCGTATATTTGCCCTCACTCTGGCGCTAAATAAATGATTCCCGAGGATGATCATATTTCATGTCAGTTACCATCATTAACGTTTTTCGATCCACTGCTTTATGAAGGCCTGTCCAATATTTCTGTTTTCTGCTATTCTTGTCTATATTGATGCGACGAACTTGTCATCCATCTAGAGGTGTTGCTACGGAATGTTTACTCTCTTTTATGTTAGTTATAATGTATTATTTTCAGGAAAGTTCAAGGGGGACTATTAGATTTTATGAGAAGCTTAAGCAGTTTCCAACAGATCGATGTAGCTGCGATGTTTCGTTGCATGAAGAGCCTGAGTAACGAAATATCGAATATTACTGAAGAATTGGTAGATCAAAGGAACAGTGATTCGACTTATTTTACAGTCACCTCCAAGAAGAATATAGCCTTTTCAGTCAGTCTTCTTAGCGTTGCGTACAACAGTGTTGAACCAGCGATTGTATGACTCGGTACCGATATCAGCTGCCAGTGCGGGAATTGTTATACCTTGCTAAGTTGGTTGTCGAATTGTTACGTCTTTTGATTCCTCAGTTGATGCGATCCATTCCAACTGTCCTTACCACTGCTGTCATAGTTTGTCCGTTTCTTCGTACGGGTATTGTCAACCTTCGTCGCTCCGCTTGGTTTTATTTATTGCTCGGTCCACTCACCCACAGC